CAGAAGGAAGATTGGGCAATCTACTTCTATAGAGATACTGCCTCAGAAACCCAAGGAGGGGTTTCTAGGAGTCGGATTTGACTTGATGGCAGTGAGGTTTTTTGGGTTTGTTTCTTTTTTCATTAACTCAAGGGAAAATGAAGATCCCAGAGGGGCAGGGAAACTGGAAGTACAGAAACGGGGAAGCCTGGGGTGGAAATGGTGAAAGTGCTGACACATTGCAAGGATCGTAACCAACGTCATGGAACAATCTGTGTATGAATTATTCAACGGAAAACTAATTTGCTATGTAAACTTTCACCTAAAACACAGTAAAATGTTCAAAAAAGAAAAAAAAAGAAAGAAGATATAATTATGATGGGCTACTGAACTCAAGTAAACAACATTCACATAGACACAATGACTAGACACTGACCATTAACTTAACCCAAAAGTTAAATAAAACGAGCCTGGATGACAGAGAATGAATGGAGGCAGGAGTGAAAGAATCAAGTCTGTATCTACTCTGAGAAGTTGACAGACGTCGGAAATTAATACATCAGGGAACAGCCACATTACCCTGTCCTGTCGGAAACAGGGAAGCAAACCACCCAAGAAACATCTAACACTGAGGAATGACCACAGAATGGGATGGAAAAGGTTATGCGTGAGACAGCTTTTTTATTATCTTAAGTGTTTTTAGTATTACTTGACCAAATGACTTCAATGGAAATTAAATTTAAAAATAAATCACACCAAATAAAAGAGGGAGCTGAGAATAAATAATAATACTAACATGCATAACTGTCATGAATTGAACTGTGCCTCCCAACAGTATGTTGTAAACTGTAACCCTTTATCTGTGGAGGTGAATCACAGCTGGGAATGGGGTTTCTTTGCTATGTTAATGAGGTCTTATCAGTGTAGGTTGTCTTAAACCAATCATTTGTGAGACACAACAGAGCAGATTAAACACTGAAGACTAACACTGGGGAAGACGACACCATCTGAACACACCATCTGAACACACCACCTGAACACAACTAAGGCAAGCTCAGGAGCTCCAAGGACAGGCGGCTTGAGAAGCTGAGACAAGCCTCTTCCCCCAGAGCCTCCTCCTTGAGCTAGTGCCTGAATTCAGACTTCTAGCCTCCAAACTGGGAGAAAATAAATTTGTCTAGCAATTTCCATTGCAGTAGCACTAAGGAACGAAGACAAGAACCAAGTAGAACTTTCTAGGGTTGTCCACATATAAAGGTGCTTTGGGATTATAAAAGGAGCTCTGTGGGTAAGGCATTTGTCTGCTAAGCAAAAGGTTGGCAGTTCAAACCCACTAGCTGCTCCGCAGGAGGAAGATGGGGCCATCTACTTCCATAAAGACTTAAAGCCTTGAAAACCCAACGGGGATCGCTAGGAGTTGGGATCGACTCAATGGCAGTGGGGTTAGTTTGGTTTTAAGGTTATAAAAGCAATTATTTAAGATATAGTGGGGCCCTACTGACGGTGTTTCCCACAGAAGCATGCTGGGCTACCCCGTCCACAATTCACAGCGTGAAATCTGCTTCTTAGCTACAGCCTCTCTGACTGGCTCCCAGAAAAATCTCCCTATAGTTCTATTTCATCCCTTGGTCAACACCATCAATGCTCTGTCACCCACTGCCACCCTTGACCAAACACAACGCCCTTCTCTCCACCCTACACGGCACTCTGTGGTTCCCTAGCCGCATTTAGTTTATTTCACCTTCACTCACAGACAGGTGAACTCATACGATACGAAACCCATGTTTCACAAATGCCACTGTGTTCAGCTCAATTTAAACTTAGTCCAGCTGGGGAATTGTTTCAGGTTTTGTTTTTGTTTTTTAACAAATAAGCAGGTACGACTTCTGTGGGTTTTCAAAAACCTAAGCATGTAAGTGTAGGCCATCTAAAGTGCAACTATTGGTTTCCCCCGTTCGGAGCAAAGAAGAATGAAGAAAATCAAAGACAAGTGGAAAAAGTCCAAAGACTGTAATGAACCATGAGAACCTTAGCCTCCAGGACTCTGAGGCCAGAAGGACGAGACGGTGCCTAGCAGCCACTGCTGACCACTCTGAAATCGATCACAGCAAGAGGGCCTAAATAGAGTAGGAGAAAAATGTGGCATAAAACTCATAATTATAAAAAAAGACCAGGCGAATTGGTCCGACAGAGATAAGTGCAACGCCCCAGACTGTGGCCTCCTCACCCTTCAAGCCTGAGACTGAACTCACACCAGTGGTTCAGCTTTCAGTCCCAAACAGAGAGGCCTCTAAGGTGAACAGTCACACTAGCAAAGGAAGCACTCCGAACAAACAACCACCCAAGATCCAAGGGGCAGTGTTTGCCCAGGGAGGAAGCTCAGAAGGCAGGAAGGGAAAGGAAAGAAGGAAGGGAGATGGTACACAGGGAGGAAGTGGGAGGAGAGCTGTTACACTGTGGGCACTGCAATGAATGTCATGAAACGTGTATGAGCTGTTAAACGGAGAACTGATCTGCTCTGTAAGCCTTCACCCAAATCACAATAAAAAGTTTTTTAAAAAAAACCTAAGCATAACTAAAAAAAAAAAAACAACTCACTGCCGTCGAGTCAGTTCCAACTCACAGCGACCCCTCCTTGGGTTTCCGAGGCGGTGTCTCTACGGACGTAGATTGCCCAGTCTTCCTTCTGAGGAGTGGCTGATGGGTTTGAACTGCCAGCCTCTGGTTAGCAGTCAGATGCCTTAGGCATTACACCATCAGAGCTCCCAAGCATAAGTAAATAACCCAACAAATTTAACACGGGTAAAACGCGGCATCTGCTTCCAAGACAGAATCAGTGGGTGTGCTACTTGCCAGAACTTCAATCTTGAAGTCATCCATCACGTATTTCCAGTACTGAGAGGACTTGATGCTGAAGGGGTCGAAAGTCAGGGTCTCCATGGGGCTGACCAGGCTGTCCACCCTGCACAGGACGTCATCAATGCGCTTAGGATCCCCGGTCACGGCCTTAAGCTCTGGACCAAATATGTTGTAAAATTCCTCTATCACCTGCAATCAAACAAAACCAAAGAGCATACGTTACCTTCCAGTTTCCTGGGGAATGTTCTAACTCTAAAAGAGTTCCGTATCTGGGTCTCCCTTAGGGCAAAGATCCTATCCCACGGGCTGTGTCAGCGCACCCACTGTACAGAGGGTAACATCAGAGGTCTCAGTGTGGCCTTCGTGGTCTGCGTGTTTGGGCCCCTTCCTGCTTCTCCAACTTCTTCCCACACCTCTCCCCCTGCCTCTTGGCCATAATGTCAGCCAATTCAGTTCCAGGTTCCTCTCTGCCACAGGGCCTTTGCACCTTCAGTTCGAAGTGCCTACCTGACTCCTACCTTACCAAGTACCCGCTGCTGCCAAGTCGACTCCAACTCGCAGTGTCCCTATGCCTGACAGCACGGAACTGTGCTACATGAGTTTTTCAATAGCTAATTGTTCAGAAGTAGACCGACAGGCCTTTCTCCCAGGGCACCTCTGGGTGGACTTCCATCCCCAACCTTTCAGTTGGGAGCTGAACACGCTGACCATATGCACCACCCAGGGACCCAGGGAACGACTCCAAGGACGTGAGGTAGTTTTGGGCTCTAGGTCTACACCAAGAGCCGCACAACTCGCCAGGCCTTGACTCCAGCATCTCCTCCAGTAGGGAGGGGCCCACTGTAAAAGTCAAGCTGCTTTCCATCAGGCACACAGGGCCTCTGCCTCACTCACACACAGCCCCCCACCTGCAGAACATCACAGAGGTCCTGGCAGATGGTCGCCATGTAATCCGTTCTCTCAAACAGCCGCTTCCGGTCAAACTCCCATCGTGCCTCTCTCCCTGAAGCTTCAATCTTGCCCCGCACATCAAAATAGGCCTTCTTCCATAGCATAAGGGTATCCTTGGCCTCCAGGGTTTTATGCTGTGCGCTGGCTCGATTCTCTCTGCAGACAAGGAGCTGCTGTGAGGGCAGCAAGCACAGGGTGGGGCTGGGGGTCGGAGCCCTGCCCCCCGGGAAGAAGGCCACCTGAGAGTCCTCACTGCCTGCAAGGTTGGGCCGGGAACTGCAGTTGTGGCCGAGGTAGGCATCAGCCACCGCTGCCCACCCACCACCCATGTGAGCTTTCTGCTTCAACTGCAAGGGGTCCCAGGATGGAGGATGACTGCAGCATCGAGGTAGCAAGTTCATCTAGATAGGGCATTTTTTAAAAGAAAGAAAGAACTTTTCAAAAACTACTTCCATATTTGGCCCTGGAGGTGGTCCCCCCATGGGCGGGGCCAGAGTTCATGACCTGGGCCCTTCAGCCCCCTGCCTTCAGTCTCTGCAGGGTAATTCAGGAAGAAGGTCTTACATAACAGAAACAGTGTATGGAATGAGGGGCTGATACCTGCCACAATGTGGGGGGAACCTCGAAAACATGATGCTGAGAGAAGGGACCCAGACACAAAGGCCCACACCCTGTGCTTCCACTTACAGGAAATACCTCGGGTAGGCACAGACACAAAGGAGGTTAGTGGCTGCCTCAGGCTGGGGGGTGGGGAGCCTAGGTGATGAATGCTGGAGGTACGTGGTTTCTCTCTGAGGTGATGAAAATGTTCTCAAATCGACTGTGGTGATGGATGTACAATTGTGGGAATGTACTAAAAGCCACTGACCTGTACACTTTAGAGGGGTGCACTACATGGTGTGGGGGTGACAGCTCAGTAAAGCAGTTTAAAATCTAACAACCAACAAACCACCAGGAGCCCACGGTCACTCCTCACTTGAACAGAGTCCGCAGATTGACAACTCTGCAGACCCTCTCGGCGATCTCCCAGGCGATCCGCTCCATGAGCGGGATCATCCTCTCATCCTTGTTGTAGTGGCGGGAGATGATCCACACCATCCGCAGGGCATTCATCATGGAGGGGATGGTGTCCAGGACAACGTGAAAGCCGGACCCATGGGTGATGTTCTAAGCGGACAGCAGGCATGAGCAAGAAGTGGCAGTGAGAATGATAGCCTGAGCCTTCAGAGGCTTCACAGAGCGTCAGTGCCAGGGTCACACCTCTGCATTCAGAACTGTACTCAGTGTAGGGGAAACACACTAACACACAAGACAGCAAGAAACAGGTCTACTATATTCTGCAGAACATACATGTACATATGAATACACACACATGCATGTGTAGCTATACGGAATACATGTGTATACACAGAATACATACATGTATACATACACATACATGCAGAGAAACTATATAGTCAGCATATATGCACGCACACATATGTACATATAGAGAGTGTATATGTGTGTGTAGAAAATATACGCATATATATTAAGTCTATATGTATACATACATACCACACACACACAGGGCTTTTTCTGGCTTCCTTGTTGGGAGAAAACCACCACCCTTGGCCTTGTGACATTGTGTCTGAGCATGAGAAATTCAGAGGGATGTACAGAATATATATGTGTGCATATTGAGTATATGTGCACATACACACACAGACATTATAAATGTATATACAGACTATGTATATATGTTTATATGCATGCATGCACTGTGCATAAGTATATTTGGGGTATATCTACATATGCTGAGTATATATGTACATACACACACACACACACACATACATACACACATGTATGTGGACACTAGGGCAGGAAAGCAGGTGAAGGCTGGCCGTGGCCCGTGCCCAGCATACCTTGAAGTGGCGCTCCACAGTGGAGAGGAAGCGCACATTGTCAGAAGCCTCCATGTGGATCTTGAAGAGCTCAGTCAGGACCGGCTGCAGGTTGGCCACAAGCATCGAGTCCGATTCCTTTATCACCTCCAAGACCTTCCTGACTATCGGAAGCTTTGTTTGTTCATAGAGTGCACTTAGGGTTGCATTTCTTTCCCGCCAGAAATCAATTTCAGCCAAGGGGCCATTACCCTGAGAGGGACGTGAACACACAGATAATTCTAATCACCAAAGTGGGCTGGGCACCTGGGGTGGTTTCCTCAGCATCCATTCCTCCCTTCCCACCTTCTCCAAATGAGGGCCAACTTCAGAGCCATTCAGCTGGTGACTGGTGCAGGGGTGGGCCCCTGACCTAGGATGGTCCAATCACAGAGAACCTCAGCACTCTCAATGGGATCTAGACAAAGGCATTCTAAGGTGGTATGCGAAGAAGCAGACAGAAACTGCTCCAAGTTGTTCCCGCGAAGGAAACCAACCTGGGCAAGAAGCCCCCACAGAGGGGAGAATGGGTCTGAGAGAATTACAGACAAAAACATCTCCAGCCTGATCAAATTAGATCTGAAGCCAGCCCTGCCTCTGGACTGTGCTTCACCTGAGCCAATGAGTTCCCTTTCTTGTTTGAGTCAGCTGAGTTGGGTTACCAGGGTTTTGCAGCCCAAGCCTCCTGACTGACACACAGTGTTATCTTGATTATCCCAGACACTAATAAGGTAGCCCACACATCCCAGAAAGTCCAAGGATGGTTTCTGGGGTGTGTTTACTCTGATCTTTCAAGAAGGTCACCTAGCACTGGTCGTGCAGCTTCCCAGACCCCTGGCTCTTTCCCAGGCTGCCAGGCATGAACTGCATCAGGGAAGCTCCAGACAACGCACCTGCGGCGTCTTCTTCAGCTGGCCCTCAACGGCTGTGGAGATCTGATTCAACCAGTTGATCACACACTGCTCCAAGATGTCCACAGTATCCTGGTCGGCAGCCAGCTCGGACACCTCGCCCTCCACGCTGATGCTGGGCATTTCCAACTTGATCTCGCCTAGTGAGAGAAAAGCCACTCTAGCCCACAAGGGGGAAAAAATGAGAACCAAAGCTCCTGAACTCCTCGGTGCCTTCTCAAATGCAGCACTCTTCACTAAAGGGAGGGAAGGGCAACTTTACCTTCCAGCTGCTGCATGGTTCTTTGAATATTATTTGCAAACTTCTGGACGTTCATCAGAAATTCATCCCGTATCAGCTGGACACTGTGATACTCCACGGCTTCCCCCGGCATGCTGGGCAGGTCCATGTCATACTCGGAAGAATCAGAACCATCCATTAATCCCACACTTGTATCCATCTTGTGTTGATTGAAGGACAAAGCTGGCAAGAAAACCTGGAAAGCCAAGTTCATTACACAATGTCATTCTTGATAACCCACGTTGTTCAACTGTCTCTGGCTTTAAATACTCTACATATGAGAGGCAAATGTAACGACAAAGTGAACACAGACTTAAAAGAGCAATTATACCAGAGTAATGGTGAGTGAAGAGTCAGAATTTCACCCACCCTTAAGACAACCACCCAGTGAACAGTACAAATTATACCAGAGTGACAGTGAGCCAACAGTCAGAATTTTACCCCCCTTAAGCCAACCACCCAGAGAACAGTATGAATTATACCAGCGTGACGGTGAGTGAACGGTCAGAATCTCAACCACTCCTGAGACAATCACCCAGAAAACAGCCCGATCTCTTTGCACCAGTCTCAATTCTTTAGCAACTGAGAGTCAGACACAGTGGCACCAATGGGTGAAAAGCTGTGTGTTAGCCCCGACTCAGCACCACACTCATTTGTGTGAAATAAAGAAAAAGGAGGTGGTAGGGACATTGTCCTTTGAAATCTAGTTGACAACTGGAGGGGGAGGAGAAAGTTGCCTTCAAGTCAGTTCCAACGCATGGTGACCTCGTGTGTCAGAGCACAGCTCTGCTCCACAGGATGTGTGACAGCTCATTTTATAAAATCCATCACCAGGACTTTCTTCTGAGGCACCCCTGGGCTGACTTGAACCCTCAACCTTTTGGTCAGCACGTCAACTGCTGGCACCACCCACGGTCTCCAGGGCTTGTTGTTCTCCTGTCACACGCCCTCATCTGCTGTTTTCCTGTGTACCTGTCTGTTTTTGCAGGTTTCCCCTAATGTAAGTCCCGTGAGCGTGGGTGTGCATCGGCCCTGCCCCCTGCTCTGCCCTCAGTGCCCACAACAGTGCCTGGCACCCAACAGCTGCCAATCCCCCAGCTGTGGAATAAATGTATCAAGTGGTCCTCGTCTCCAAAAGGCTGAGATTTCGTCTTCGGTCCCTATTTACCTGACCAATGATGTCCTTCAGGAAATGCAGCACATTGGCATTGATGATGCCATACTCCAGTGTCTCGGGCATAATTTCCATAGCTTCCTTCATGTCCGTAGCCTCGGAAATCGCCTCTACATAAGGAGAGACCCAGAGAGTGACATCAATGGGGGAGAAGGGTAACGGGTAACATTTCCAAGCCTACAGCAGCCCTTCCTCCTTTCCGAGGAGCCAAACGGGACCTCAGTCACAGACTCAGAACGCCCTTCAGACGAACCCTTCAGCCCTTGGGACGTTGGTCAGTACTGAGTCACGCCGGGTCACGGGTCAGCACAGTAATGCAGGAGAGAGGCCTAGCTCACCTCCTCAGAGCATCTAAAGTGGGATGAGGACAGCAATCATTTGGGTTTCTCCAGAAACATTGGTTGAATCCTTGCCTGGCCCATCTCCCCACTCCTCAGGCTGTCCTCCCTAATTCACTGTCAAAGCATCCTTGAACATGTCTGAATGCAGCCTGTCCCTACAATGGACTATTATCCAGCCATAAAAGGAACTGAAGTACTATACATGCCACCACATGCACGAAGCTTGGAAACCTGATACTGAGTGAAAGAAGCCAGACACAGAAGGACCAAGACCATGAGCCCACATACATGACTCTCTAGAATGGCCAAAGACACAGACACGGACAGGAGGTTCAAGGTGACCAGGGCCTGGGGGAAGAGGAGGTACTGCTGAAGGGGTACTGAGTTTCTGTTAAAGGAGATAAAAGATGTGGCAACGGGTAGTGGTGATGGCTGCACCACACAGTAAATGCGATTAACAGCTGAGGAAAGAGGGAACCCCGGAGTGAGGCCACTTCATGCCACATGTAGGGTCCCCACACCCTCGGGAAGAGGGAGTTAGAGACTAACTCAGTGCCTAATCGTCAGGCTCCACCCCAAGTGCCGCTCAAGTTCAAAATAGAAAAAAAAATAAGCAACATCAATAAAACAGTGTTTGTTCTGGAATTTCGGGTGAGTCCTAAAACATGACAGACACACCCCATTTGCCAGGGGGATGGCAAGGGCCAAGAAAGTACAGAGGTGGCACAGGAGAACGGGGCAGGAGGGGCCGACGGGGCGAGTGGAGGGACGGTCTGTCCCATTAGCCACCTGCGTGGCACACATGGTAGGGCATCTCCCCAAAGGTACCCTGCAGGCCAAATCTGAGTGGCATCTGCATTTGAAGTTGCCCAGTCTTGCAGAGTAAGCTGTTCAAGGTTCACCTTGTAACACGGGTTTATGTCATTCTGAATCTTCCTCTAATTGTTATAAATAGGCCTAAGACTAATTATATACTCCACTAGTATATAAATGTAGATAATAAAATAATAGTGATAAAGTACATCGTATCAGAAGTAACACAGAAGTGACTGTCTCAGTTAAACATAGAGACAAGAATCACACACATACACACACACCACACACCACACCAGGAATGTACCTTTTGTATTTCTGAGAAAAAACAGCACATTCTGGTCCAGAAACTCCTCAGGAATAGGAGCACCCGTCACATGCAGATGGGTCCTCTCCACGGTGTGTTTAACGATTCTCTAAAACACGGGGACGAAGGACCATCAGCCCGAGACACACCCACCGTCCACCCAGAGAACTGATCAGGCAAGGACCCTTGTGCTTCCCCGTCAACACAGCCACGTTCCAACAACACAACTACGGCCCCACTGTGAGCGCCAACTGACCACAACACACGAACTGCAATGCACCCAGACTCTGGGCTCTGAACCTGGCTCTTCTACTGACTGCTTACAGCAGCCAACACTTGAGCCAACCACTGCGGAAAAAGTCTGGACAGAGCTTGGCAAGCCCATAAACTGCAACACGTTACGCTCGAGTGTGGGGGACGCATTCATGGAGGAATCAGCTATAAGGCAGGCAGCAAAAGCATTAAGCAAAAGGCAGGCAGATGCTTCCATCTGGCTTCAAGCACCACCTTTGGGATTTGTGCAGTAAAGGGTTAACTCAGCAGGCCTGGGTTGTCCAAACCCTGCACATTACAAAGGCCTTCAGGACCAGTCCTTAACTGGCTCCTCGGAGATACTTCTAAGTACATGGAATAGCCTTCCTGGTCAAGAGTGACTTTATTGGTCAACAATTACTTTAAGACACAGATGAGAATGTAAGGGGCAGGGAAACTAGACTAATGGAAACAGAACAACCAGAAAGAAATCATGAGAATGCTCACACATGGTAAAGAATGTGACCAATGTCACTGAATATGTGCAGAAATTGTTGAACAAGAACCTAAACTGTATACCTTCATCGGAAAGTTAATAAAACATTATTTTAGGAAAAAAAAAAGAGTGATTTTGTTTACTGGGGACCTACAGCCATGCCAGGTAGACATTGTGACTTATGGTAAACACTGCTTTTGCTCCTCTGGGGGGCATCAGGCCATGTGTATCAGCCTGGCCTCTGGAGTGCCTGAAGGCTGAGGAGCTAAGGTCAGTCGCATGGCGGTCCATGGCCTCCACGCCTACATGACTGACCCCAATAAACACCCTAGACACCAAGGCTCAGATGAGCTTCCCTGGTCAGTAACCCTCATACAAGTTGTCACACGTTGTTGCTGGGAGAACTAAGCTCTGTTTGTGTGCCTCCACTGGAGAGAATCCGGGCGCTCACAGCTGGTCTCTCCTGGGGTCCGTCCTGCGCACCTTTCTCCTTTGCTGACTCCATCTGTATCCTTAGGCTACAATAAACCATAACTGTGAGCCAAACAGCTTTTCTGAGTCCAATGAGTCTTTTCAGAGAATCACCAAACCTGAGAGTGCTTGTGGGAACCCCAAACCCAGGCCTGTCTGATCTGAGTCATCACAGGCCCCTTGATGCCCATTATCCCACCAAAGAGGAGACAGACTCAGGCCTACTTTGACGGGAAGTTCTTCTGTTATCTCTTTGACCGTTTCTCCCTCCTCTGTGGTCATTAAAGACTGAGACACGGAATTGCTTCTGAGTTGCAAATTCTTAGCTGCAAAGCAACATTCAGGGACTAAGATGAAATAACCAGAACATCTGGCATCCTGCCATCAACCCAGACCCACATTTTGTACACAGCATATGCCACCCAATAGGCATGTTATCAAAAAGTTGCACATATATTTTTACAAATGAGTCCTATGTAGCCTTGGCTTACACTGTGAGTTACAAATGCATTGCCCTCCATCAGAGATTTAACGGGCACACGTATGTGTGTGTGCATGTGTGCCTGTGTGTGTTCCTTCTAGCTGTCAAACCAAAAAACCCCACTGTCATCAAGCTGATTCTAACTCACGGCAACCACACGTTACCAAGTAGAACTGTTCAGTGGGGTTTTCCTGGCTGTAATCTTAATGAAAGTGGATCACCAGGCTGTTTTTCAAAGGCATTGCTGGGAGCACTCAGACTGCCAACCTCAAGATTAGTAGTCAAGACAGAATAGCCAGGGACCTCTCCTGACTACATGGGGTGTGAAATGAGGAGAAATTACTTCATGGGGATAGGGTTTTACTTATAAATGACAGGAATGTTTCGGAGGTAGATAGAGATGATTGTTGCACAAGACTCTGAATGTACTAAATGCCACTAAACTGGTCGCTTTAAAATGGTTCATGTTATGTGGCTTTCATCTCAATAATTTTTTTTTTCATAGTATTATGCCTCAAACATTCTCTAAGAAATAGTTTTGCACCTGTAGGTTACAGGATGGAAAGACTGTTCTACAAAAGATCATCTTGTAACACAGCAGTCTGAGACAATACACAAGATCGGGTGTCTTCAGGCTGTGAACATTTTAGTAACTCAGCATTGTCCCTTTGTACTTCATACCAAGTCTTGGCTCCAGCAAGTAAAAGGTAGAAAGTGAATCCCACCTGGGCAAGCGAACCCTCTACTTCCGCGGAGAGCTCTCCCAGTTCTGCCCACCCTCGTGCCCCCCCAATGCCACACCTGATGCTTTATCCACCATCGCCACGTCGTCTTCCTCACTTCCCTCATCAGAACCGGCAGGTACCTCGCTGTCTGCATCGGCCCATAAACAGAAAGAGATATAAAATGTAATGGTTTTGCTACAGGAGACACCCAACATCGCTGCTCTTCCCAGAGCCAAGGGGTTGGGATGTGGTCCCCAGGACAGTCATTCGTGAGGCAGGTGTTGGCTTTGAAATACTGTAGTTTGGGGAGGTGACAACTGCCAGCCTTATGCCAACTCTGCCAAGAGATGAAACAGACAACAGTGATGACAGAGTTAAGATGAGACCAGAGGGAAAATGACCAAGTTACAACAAGACGTTCAACCTCACTAAAAGCTATAAACGCGTCAGTAACCAAGTGCATCTACTTTTCAGCCACCGGATTGCTGAAGTGAAAATGCGGACAACACCCAGTGCTGGCAAAGATGCTGGAAACAGCCCCTCAGGGACCACCGCTGGGTGTGTACCGGCAAAGCCTCCTGGAGAGCAGCCTGGCAGGACCTACAGGTTCCCCTCCCCGTCCAAACGCACAGCATTCCTGTGAAAGCTTTCATTTGCTGAAATGATGTGAAACAAACAAACAAAACAATTTATAAGGGGAAAAATTTTGCGCATTCCCAGAAAATAACCTACCCAATCATAGTCCACCAAAAAATACATAAAGCCCAAAATAATACCAGCATACACTGTTCCGAGAGATAGCTCAAAGCGATGGTGGCTTGACGCTGAGATGCTCAGTGGAGCTCCCCAGAAAGGAGGTTGGCGAGGCCTCCTCACTGCGGGTGCACGGCGGCTCTGCAGTGGCTCCCAGCAAAACAAATGTTGCCGCTAGTTTTGCTTTTCATCTTTGTTTGCTAAAAGCAAACATCCTCCTCACCTTTCTTTCGGTCAGTGAAACAAGGTACGAACACAGGACTTTCGTAAAGGAAATGACGCAAAGTGAACTTTCGAAAAGCAGGGCATTCCTATGTTCGGATTTAAAGCAAACACGCTCGTGAGCCCAGCCATTCGACTGCTCTAAATCCACTCTGCCGAAGTAGCCAGTGTACAAAGACAGGTGTACAGAGTTACATCGTTCGCAGAATGAAATGCCGTGAAAAACTAAACGTCTGCTGATCAGGGAACAGGGACATAAAATATAGTGCATCAGTAATGGACAGATACATTGAGATAGACAATAGATCTGTTATTGCTTGTGATCAAGTCACTTCCAAGTCGTTGCAACCCTGCAGGACAGAGTAGAACTGCCCCAGAGGGTCTCCTAGGCTATAATCTTACCAGGGCAGATGGTCAGGTCTTTTCTCTTTTGGAGAAGCCAATGGGTTTGAACTGCTGACCTTTCAGTTAGCAGCCAAGCACATAAGATAGACAGACACAGATGATAGGTGATAGGCCAGTGGCTTGATAGGTAAGTAGACAGATAAATACACAGACATAGACAAGTGACTGATAGGTCGGTGGACAGACAGATGAGAGGTAAAAAGAAGGTAGGTAAGTTAACAGATGGACGGATGGAAGGATGGACAGAGACAAAGAGATATTCAGAAATACTGCAGCTTCCAGCCACACAAAAGACAAGCATATGAGCTAAACATTTACATTAGGTAGATACACTCCTTGGAGTGAACAATCATGGGATAATAGAAGGGCTGTGTATGCACAGGGAGACAGTTGGGGGACAACAGTGCACAGGAGGGAAAAACCCAGGGAAGAGGTTAATTATGGGGAGGAAGTAGGAGGGGAGCTGTTGCACCATGGGAAATTGCGGTCAAGGTCATGAGACAAAATGTATGTGAGCTCCCGTATGTAAAGTGAATTTGCTCTGTAAACTTTCACCCAAATCACAATAAAAATTATAAAAGAGAGAGAGAGAGAGAGAGAGAGATTCAGAAATAGATCTGGCAGGACACGCACTGAACTCACAGAGGCAATCTAAAGGAACAGGAGGAGTGGGCTTCAGCAATGGGAAGGGGTGCTTTTCACGTTTTCTGTAATTCTATGTTATTTGACTTTTCAAAAGAACTCACTGTAGTAATACTGTGTACTTTTTTGAATTAAGCAAACTACCTTTTATAGTTTTGTTGTCCCCCAAAACAATGCACATAGTCCCACGAGTGCAGAGCATCCTTACTGCTTTCCTTACTGGCACCCCCTTTCCTCACTGGTACTATCTATCTGGCTCCATTCACATGGTTGTTAACTGGGAGCAGAGCAAAGACATCTGCACTGGGAAGGGGTAGAAACAGAGAGAAAAGAGGGATGACGGGGCATGGACTGGCCCCACTCCAGTCCTTTGGTCAGCCCAGAGACCCCCATATAAGGGGTGTGATGGAGGAACTCTCTGAGGGTCTCTGTGAGCCTGTGGGCTTAATAAGCAGAGGGTAAGTGACAAATTGGGACACATTTTCTCCCTAACTCTGTCCAGAACCCAACACTCAGCACCATTCTGGCACCTCCAGGACTGGCAGCTTCAAGAGTTTCCAGGGACAGTGTCCTCAGCAGAGAACAGATAGGCACCCTTGTGACAGGCAACAGTGGACAAGAGGTGGAAAACAAGGGGACAAACAGGGGACAAAGGCTGCCTGGGAACAGGTAGAAGGTGAAGGGTTTCTGAGCACTCTCTGGCAAGTCCAAGAATTAACCAAGGGGCCGGCAGGAATTCCATCCCAGTCTGTGCGCGGACCAAGCCTGGGTACCCTGCCCTGCCCTGCCCTGATTTTTTTTCGTTCTATTTTCTGTTTTTTAGTTTGTTTGTTTTTGTCTGTTTTAAAACTACTACTATTATTATTACTTTTGTCCTTTTTATTATTATTCTTTATTCTTCCCCTCCCA